TTCTTTTATTTTTTTGTTTTGCCCTTTACATATGAGAGGGAGCATTTATATGTTTTATGGGCCTGGCCCATGGAATAACTTCTCCATGAATAGAGATAGTTAGTATTACGAACTGCATTTAAATATTATAAACAAAAACACACTCTGCATTCAGCAACAAATATTAAATACAAAAACTACAAGTTGGGGGCACACTTCAGACAACTATTTGAAGAATACATATTTGATGGTATAATCATTCTGTGCACATGAATAATCTTTCATTCTCAGGCAAAGTCAGTAAATAAATTTCAGGTTTAAAAAATGATTGTTTTGGATCCTGATGACATTCATGTATGATTATTGTTGCTGCTCACGTGAATGGAATCCATTGCAGGTCTTTCAGGAGTACCAAGGCTTGATACTGGACCAGCAACTATGTTCATTTCAGGCCAGTTAAATGCAGAAATGGAAATCCTCTCGTTCTCTGAGTTGACAGTCGCTCTATGTTCAATGCTCCTGTAAATCCCATTTGTAAACATCTGCGAAATGGGATTTATGATAAGGGACAAAATTTGTAGTGCGTGTGGTCCATGTAAGATAAGCTTCTGCACTCAAACAAAGACAAGAGCGCTGAAGATAATATCTAGCATCTGTCTTCAAGAATCAGAGGGTATTTTGGTCTGTTTTATTTTGTCATTTTCCAATTTACCCAACTATCCACAGAAAACCACCACCAACTTCAGATTCTAAACAGTGACAATGGCTGGCTTTCTATGACCAAATGGAGAAATGCTATGCAAATAGCATAGATGGGGAACTTCAATGAATCTCTCTACCAAATAATGACTTTCTGAATTGCCAAGTTCATTTGTATGGGAAAATTTTCAGATCTCTTCAACCAAACACCACCTTAAATGTTCTTAGGCAAGATTCTCGGTTCTAGGATAAAAAAAATATCACCTTTTGAATTGCATTTTTTTTTGTCAATGTCCAGTTGAAAAAATTATGCATGGAAAATATATTATACCAGTATTTTTTAACTTATCTCATACCAAACATGGTAACCATATTTTCGCTACTCCATTTTTTCAAGCATTCTATCAAAATCTTCGTACCAAACACCTGACTTTTAGCACTAAGAAGATCTTTTATCTCCTATAAAACTCGTCTGCACCGTGAGAGAGTGGACATTTCATGATCTTCATCTTCTCCATCGAATTATACACTACTACTCTACCAGAACCAAACCCAAATACACACATCCCCCATTACTTGGCTACTCTCTAAGCTTCAGTATACTCAGATCCTCCGTTAGGGCTTTAATTCTCAATAGCATTCCTCCATTGGACTTTTTTTTGCGAAGACATACTTCATCCATTTAGGAAAAGATATCTATTCCCTATTCTCCTAAGCATATCATACTTAAAATTGGAGAGAAAAAAAACTCACTAAAAAAAGAGAAAAAATTGAAAGATAGATAAAAAATAAATTACTAAGAACTAAGGAATCTATAGATAATTATTGAAGTATTGTGAAAATAAAAGAAAATGGAATTAGTTTTTTCAAAAGTAAAACCTGTGTGTCCCAAGAAGAGAGTGTATATATATATGAAAACTCGGCCCACTATTGACTCGGCCGAAGTCAGGGGTCATGGGATTATTTTGCTGATGCGGTTTTATATATTAAAAAATGGTTCACTTTATTTGCAGTTTATATATTAAAAAATGGTTCATTTTTTTTGCAGTTACTGCAAATAAGTTATCTGCAGTAAGCCCAATACGACATCATTTTGGGACAGAAATCATGGTATTTTTGTAATTTTAATTTATTTCAGGGTTATTATAGTCTTTATAATTATAATTTTCTAATCTTTCAATCCCAAAACGACGTCGTTTTGGTAAATGCAGATAACTTATCTGCATTAACTGCTGAAATATTTTTCTGATTAAAACAAATAAATATATATCCTATATCAAAAATTCAAAAAAATCAAACCACCAATCATCGAAGTTTCAAATTATACTTAACATAATTCAACTAATTACATCCGAAAGTCAATATTACACAAGATAATCAAAGTATCAACATATAAAATACATATTCCAATGATGTTAATGAAAAGTTATATCGTCAACTTCAGGCTCTTCTTGTCGTTCTCCACCATTGTTGTCCAAACCTTGAGGAACATTGCTTTCATTTTGGGGTATAATGGCCATATGAGGTTCATTATGTCGACTCCATGCCTTCTAAATAAAAATTTCTCAACCCTTACTTTCTCCTAATCTACTTTCGTGATCCGCTGGAGCAACGCACTACACCATAATTATTATAAACAGCAAAGCATTCTATTTTATTTGCATTTTTTTCTTGAAATAAAACACATACATTACAAATTGCTTACCGAAAAAAAATACAAATTTGTCTAGACTCTAGGGAAAGAATGTCATCATAGGGAGATAAAATAATAGCCTCTGAAGAAATATACCTTCCCCTTCAAAAGATTTGTTGCTTCTTGAAATACTGGAATGAACTTATTTGTATCATTTGTAGTCACAAACAGCAACAACTAAAAATTGAAGTCACGCTCACGCATTAAAATTATGCAACAACATATGAAAGGAGATCCCTTACCCAAGAGAGAACGGCAGAGGAAAGGCGGTGGCGTGACCAATCAACGGTGGAGAGAGAAGAACCAGCACAACGGAGGAGAGGGAGAGAGAAGACCAAAAAGAATAGGTGATAAACTTATAGTTTATCATGTTTTTAGGGTTAATATTACATGATTTGCTTGGTCTAAGACATGTATATTTAGGTTTATAATGGAAAAGTATGTAAAGTTGACTTTAATCTAACATAGTTCATTCTTATTTGATTTTTAAGGTAAATTGACTTGAATTAAGCAAGAATGAAGAAAGGACTTTGAGAAAGGAATAGAAGATCATAAAGGTCATGGAGAGCGCCCAAGAAGCAAAACTCAAGGATGAAGGAGAGCGTTACAACGTTGAAATGAGCGTTGCAAAGCTATGTCTATTTATACGCATTTGCATAAATTTCCCTGCAAATGCTCTCTGAGCTCTCTATAGGCATTGTACCAAAGTGTCTCCATCCTCTCCTGACAAGGTTAAGGTGAAAATCTGTGTGCTCTCCTTGTTCTAACACAAACTTCCTCTCTCGTGTAATGGGCTTGGTTGCTATCTTGGTCTTGTATCTGTCTTCGTGAGCAGCAGAATGCCAAAAGTGAGCATCGAAACTTCCAGCACTAGATCCTTCACCTATAGATTTTCTTGTCCTGGATCTCTTCTTGGTTGTCTTGTCTTTTGGTGCCATGATCTAAGTTATAAAAGTTTTTAATTCAATCCAAAAATTAAAATACTCGTAACTAAACCATTCCCAGATTTAATTTAATATGATAGCAATAGGAGGAACCATCACCACAGCAAAGGAGATCACTGGATCAGGGAGATTGGGTCTGGGTCTGGAAGAGAATATCAGAAGAGAAGAAGAAAAAAGAACGATTCAGATTTCATATATAGTTCTAGATCTAGACAGCAACAAGTTTTTTTTTGTTTTAAATACCAAACGACGTCGTTCCGTGTGTAATTTTTTTGTTTAAATGCAGTGACCCTCTTTGACCCCTCTGATCCGGGAGTCATTGAGACCCGACCGGGTTTCAGGAGTCAGAGGAATCAACGTGCATACAAAATCTAACTGCGGATCCCAACCCTAAAGAGAGGGGAGTCAATGACTTGGCAAGATCGACCTGGGGTGGGGCGGAGTTTTAAAAGATGGCTTAAAAATGGGTATTTATTTTAGGGGGAATACTAGTATCATGTTATAGGATACTAGTATCTCATGTCATACGCACAAATATGTCGCTCCATTTATTTTTATTTTTTTAAAAGAGTGAATCTCACATGCTTTGTGTTGATGACATAAAATACTAGTCTCCTCCAACACAAAACTAAGTTACATGTATTTATATATATATATATAGGATATATATGAGTAAATAAATTTTTGGATCCTTAAAAAAAAACACATAACTCATTTCAATTTTTTTTAAAAAATATCAATTAGAAAAAATTCCTTTTCTCCCACGTTGGCATTGAGAAAAAGTTAAAGAAGGATCCATTGACTTTGCTCATTGCCCTAGTTGCGCAATACATAATAAAGTAAGGGAAATACTACTCTTATTTTACATGAGATAGTTATTTCATTTTCTCTCAGTTCGAAAATCGCTCTCCCTCTTTTTCTTTTTCTTTTTTTCTTTTTAATGGTGGACCCACTTAGATTCTCTCTATAACATGAGAGAACTACTCTCATGTAATATGAGACTAATATTTCCCAATAAGGGAAATAAAAGTATAATATTGTAGGAAAATGTTTAGGTTATGTTATAGAGATAGAAATTATGGAACTCGCACTTTTTTATTTTTTTGGTTTTTGAAAACAAGTGTGGGTCTCACAGTTTCTATCTCTATAACATAACCTAAACACTTTCCTACAACATTATACTTCTTTTTCTCATATAATAATTAATTTGTACAATTCTATACTTACTTTTTAAAATGAACCTCAGCTTTATAAAGAATTGAAATCTAAAAGTTAAACTAACTTTTTAGTTTATTTAGGGATCAAGAAATTCTTACATTGGGGAAATGGATAATTGCCTTTCTTCATGATGTAGCTAAATATATAATTTTATAATAATTTAAATAAATGACACGTAGACTTCTAATGATGATAAAAATTTATTAAAAATCTTAGATATTTAAATTTCAAGAGGAGTTTCATGTAATGACCTCTCTTAATAATGCATTTTCAGGTAAGTTCTATAATTTTTTTGCTTGCTTAATAATATTTTATTTGAAGACTGAATTTTTAAGTTTTAACCATGAAATGAGACAGAAGATTTGGTCACACATGGGCCACATGGCATCAAGATCTGCCAAACGTGTTGTCGGGATTCACTATCTCAGTATCCCCTCCAATTAAGGGCAATAAAAAACCCAAGCACCTTATCTATCAAAATATTAGTCACCTTATGCTTTATGGTCACAGAAAATATAGGCTTATCTTCTTTTGGGGTGAGAAGCTTGAACAATCATGGCAGCCTTAAGCTGCCAGTTTCATTCCACCAACTACTTTAATTCTCAGAATGTCAAAAGCAGAAACAAGCATTTCACTTCTTGCTCAGCTCAGCCTACGCAAAGCAATATTAAGGTACCAACTTAGAAATGCAATTTTCAAAATTTAACTCTTAGATCCAATGCACAAAAATTACCAAGTGCTTTCAACACCCCTTTGTGGAACAACAGGTTGTGGTAAATGGAGCAGCCAAGGAAATAGGAAGGGCAGCAATAATAGCTGTCACAAAGGCCAGAGGAATGGAGGTAGCTGGAGCTGTGGATACTAATCATGTTGGGGAAGATATTGGAAAGGTTTTTGCTTTTGGTGTCATTTTAGCTGCATTATAGTGCTCAAACCAGCTTCTTCAGTTTGTTTTAAATTCTTTCAGATTGTTTTCTACTAGGTCTGTGGCATGGAAGAGCCCCTGGAAATACCTATAATAAATGACCTTACTATGGTTTTGGGCTCTATATCTCAGGTAATGTGAAGCAATAACAAACTAGGTATTTAATCTATTGTGTCTTGAATTTGACGTTTTGAATAGCAATTTGTAGTCCAAGGCAACAGGAGTGGTAGTTGATTTCACTGACCCTTCCTCGGTATATGACAACGTAAAACAGGTTTGACTTCTTACTAACAACTTAATTTGTTGATTTAAAGCAATGTTTCGTTACAACTTGACTTTGGACAAGATTGAAGACTAGAGTGAATCTCAAGAACCTCTGAAATTATAGTTGTTTGTGGCATTAGACTTTATATTTTGATACTAGTTTCACTTACTGTGAAGTGCTACTGCTAAAGTTAAAATATTGATTCATACTTCACTAGGCAACAGCATTTGGTATGAAAAGCGTAGTTTACGTGCCCCGAATCAAATTAGATACGGTTGCTGCATTATCTTCTTTATGCGAGAAGGCCAGCATGGTGAGCACGGGGTGAGACATAGAAGAACAATACAAAGTCTACTTGAACTTATTTATGTTCTCTTTTCTATTTTGTGGTCTATTTAGTTATTTCACACTCTATGCTTTATATTGAATAGCAACTTAGCAAGGGTTGCAACTTTAAACTAAACTTGGCATTTGATTAACTTTAATGTCAGGGTGTCTTGGTTGCACCAACCCTTTCCATAGGATCAATATTGCTGCAACAAGCTGCGATTTCAGCTTCTTTCCATTACAGCAACGTGGAAATTGTGGAATCCAAGGCTAATGCAAATGTAAGAATTCATTTTTATGTTTATAGTTGTATAAATGTTTTTGTATCTTCTTGTGGAGGAAATGTAGCATACAAGAAATGAAGAGCGGTCATTCTTATTATAAAATGTGTTGGAGAGAAAATGATTACAAATAAAATAAATCAGAATTTGTCAGAAAAATTTTAGCAACCTAATTGACATGTTCAATGTATTTACCATTAAGATATAAAAGGGGGAAAGACATAAGATAACAATGTGAAATCTTCATCCACTTTTAATCACAAATGAATTATTGCAAGCAAAAGTCTAACAATTCATCCAAATGGACACAGAAATCTGTAAGAAGATGTGAAATCAATATACTGAATTGGCCTTGGTGAACAGGATCTTCCGTCAGCAGATGCAAACCAAATTGCCAATAATCTCTCCAACCTTGGTAAAATCTATAACACAGGAGATCCTTCAACAGATGTCTTGGTAAGGATAAAAATACCTTCAGTTTGTAGTACTAATTCATGCAATAGCAAATACAAATATGTTTAGTCTTTATGCCTAGTGAGATACCACACTTCTTACATTTATTTGTCACACAAGGCAAGGGGTCAAGTCCTGGGAGATGGAATTCGTGTGCACAGCTTGGTCCTTCCAGGGCTTCCCTCAAGTACAACAGTTCATTTCTCTGGTCCAGGAGAGGTATGTCCTGTATGAACCAATTTGATTCTACATTTCTACCTTAACTTGGAGGTGTATTTTCTCATCATAAGGTCAATCTCTGCAGATTTATTCTATCAGGCATGATATCACAGATGTGCAGTGTCTCATGCCAGGCTTGCTATTAGCCATTAGAAAAGTAGTGCGCCTCAAGGTAGAGCCAACCATATGAAGTCTCAGCTTTTAGTTTCTTTATATCATTCTGCTTCATCTGATTCAATATTTTCATTGCCATTTTATCATCCTTGCAGAATTTGGTATATGGCTTGGAGAAATTTATGTGAAAATACTCTTCAATCTCCTTGTCACAAACTTGACCTTGGTTAAACTCAAAGGGCTGTCCACACTATTGACAGGCTAGTGTCACACTGACTAACCTGTCAACAAACATTTAAGGTTTAAAAGAAGTAAGAGAAGAGAAACAGAACCTCCCAAATCATTCAATCATGTCATTTAATATCTGAACTGTGATTCGATGCTTTTCAAAGATTTTTGTAGAGTTTATCTTAAAATTTCATTTTTGCCATCATGAAGAGGATCAACTAGAGCTAATCTACAGAGGATTTTAAACTTATTTTTTATCCACTCCTATTGAGTTCTACAAGGGTCAAGGCTCTCCCGAATTTTAAAAGGAGATGATTTAGTATGACTCAATTTTTTTATTTATTTTTTGTCCCGGGAACAAAAGTGGTAATAAGAGGTACTCTCGTATACTATATGATAGGGTGTTATTGGCATGCTTTGGAATTCGAAGGTTAAAGAGAGGCCCGACTTAAAAGATCACTTCAGGTTATTTAAAGTAAACCGTTTTCCTTATGAGGCTACTCGACCAGCTCTTAGGCATCAGGAAATTTTCCTATAAGGTTGTCCACCAACAAAGGAACTTTTAATAAATGGTTGTATAGGTTCTGGAACTCCTACATGTGAAAAAAGCAAAGCTTGAGACTGGAACCTTAATTCCTGGTGTCAACCCAGCTTAAAGTTATGCTAACATATGCAATTGAGCTAACTATTAAAATAAGTTAAAGTTGCTTAAAACCATACTCAATTTGACTTATTTATATATTATATAAAACAATTTGAACCCAAATATGCACCCAATAGCTTAGCTCGACCACACTCGTACCAGTACCCATACTTTATTTCGAATCATATGACTAGAATGTAAAACACCCCACATGACACTCATGTGCATGGTTGTTAGTTGTTGGCCTTTTTTTTTTTATGTAATACTTGTTGGCCTTTTTATGCAAGGCATAGAGTGTAAGTTATCAAACCATCTGTCCATTCATAAATTAAATGTTAACAATTCTAAAAACAATAAAAAAACACTTTTAATTGGTTATATCTCTATCTTTTTTTATTTGTCAATATTTAATTAAAATATTTTTTTAATTGTTAATGTTTAATTAAAAGAAAATTGTAATTGCTAAGAACATTTGTTGATCGAAGCTGTATTGTACGGCGGTGTAAATTGTTGGGTATGGCTCATCCTTAGAAGTCAGATGACAACCTTTTTTGTTGGTGGGATCAACATAAAGCCAACTGAGGTCCCACTCCCAGGTGAGCAGGCGGGGGAAGTTCCCACATGCCAGTAGAGGCTAGGTACTGTTGTCGGCTTTTGATTTATTGTAATTTTTTCTTTTTTTAGTAGTTTGGGCTTGGGCCCATGAATAGTTGTTGTTAGGGTTTTTTAATTCAATTTATTCACATTGTAAATTGAGTGACTTGTAACAAGTGGCAGTAAGGTGAATATAGTACAGACAAGCTGAACGTAATTTACATTGGGTGACCGAGGTTAAATCACTATGTCAAATCTCTCTTCCCTTTCTCTTTTCGTTTTTCGATTTGTGTGTGTTAATTTCAAACAATTGCTATCAAGAGCTTTGGTTCAATGACCGAGGTTCCTATGACAGATTGGGGGTTTGCGATTTAAGATTTTTTCTTGGCATAAAGAAAATTGCGAAATTGATCTGGAAAGGATGTTGACTAGCCAATAACAGATTGAGGTTGAAAAGTTCAGAGGAAAAGGGTTCGAGTTATGGAAATTGAAGATGGAGGTTTTGCTCGTTGACAGAGATGTTTAGTACGTGATCGAAGATGAGAAGTCTTCGGTACCAACGAAAACTGTCGGTGATGGAAACGTCGAAGAAAGGCGAGTCCAAGGTGTGGACCAGAGACGATCGAAAGGCGTGAAGCCTGATTTGGTTATGTCTGGCAGATAATGTTCTGGTGAACGTAACTTCTGAGAAAATGGGAAGGATCTCTGGATGAAGTTGGGTGGTGGTGGCAGCGATAATGGCATGGTGGTGGTGGTGACGATAGTAGTTGTGGTGGTGGTGGCGACGATGGTGGTAGTGGTTGTAATGACGTGGTGGTGGAGACAGTTGTGGTTGCGACAACGGTGGTAGTAGTTGGCAGTGGTGGCGGTAATGGCTGCGACGATGGTGGTGGTGGTTGGTGGCGGTGACATGGTGGTGGTGATGGTGATGGTGGTGGCAGTGGCTGCAGCAATATTGGCGATGGTGGTGGCGGTGGCATAGTGGTGGTGATGGTTATGGCAGTGGTTGCAGCAATATTGGCAATGGTGGTGGCGTGGTAATGGTGGCATGGTGGTGGTGGTGATATGGTGGTGGTGATGTGGCGATGGGTGGAGGTGGTGGTGATGGTGTGGTGGAATCGTGGTGGTGGTGACAACGACTCTGGTAGTACGACGACAATGGTAGTGGTGGTCGTGTTGGGATGATGGTGGTGGTAATGATAGTAGTGGTGGAGAGTAATTAAGAGAGACAAATGTTTCTCATTTTATGTCAGGGAACAAAAAAAAAGAAATTTTTTGATTATTTTTTCTGTTTCCTAGCACAAAAATTAAATTGGTTCATCCAGAGAACAAAAAAATAAATCGATTTTATCAAACGAGTTTTTTGTTCCCGAGAACCGAAATTAAAAAAGAATTAATTCCGAAAAAGTTGTCGTGCAAACCCCTAAGTGGGTGATATATGTTTTTTGATAATAAGCAAGAGGGGATTGTAACCCAAATTCTTATTAAAATAACCAGGTTACTTCAGCTTCCATTATCAAAAACAAATATTGAGATTTTTCTAACGACGATTGATTGATTAATTTAATCGAATTAATAGAATTATAAGAACGGCAAAACTTTTTTTACTAAAATATTTAACACAATTACATATTCAGAATAAGAATTCAAGAACACTAGTTAATTTATCAATAAATATTTTTATATGACAAGTGACACACTCAAATGAAATAAATTGGAATATTTCCTTTATTTATTTTGAGCCCTTACATAAATTTTTATTTTATTTATTTAAGTCTTAAATTTATTAATAAGGATATTTAAAGTTAACTATGAGTAACACTCTGAAATATTAAAATGTTATAAAAAAATCTGTATGTATAAAAAAAATGGATTGGAGTGTATGTATAAAAAAAATGAATTGGAGTGTAACACACTTTCATCCCATATAAGCAAGATTTAAATTTTTTTAAAATAGAAGGAGGTAATACAATTCGAGCATCTCTTAAATTTACCTAATTCAATATATTACAAACTATTAACTAAATAATAATGTAGAGAAAATTTCACACTTAATGAAAGTTAGCTAAACCATTTTTTTTAATTTTGGGTGTGAAAAAAAAAATATCCAAAAAAAAAATAAAAGGAAATGAATTCTCTCAACGATAATGGTTTTTCTAGTGAGTTGTGTTGTATGGAAGACAAGGGGAGATATTAGAAATCACTAATAAGAGGATTATTAAACACATACAGTATCTCAAATAACAGAACAGAAATCGTTACGGATAGGGTTTTGATAAAATAATTTAATAAAAAATTATTTTTATTTCACACACAGAACATAAAGACAACCTTACTTTTCTTTCCTTCACAAAAGTGTATTGCCCCAAGAGGCAATTTAGGAGAGTGAGGTCGGAACTTATAAACTCTTTCACCTCTTACTAGTTGTCTAATGTGAGACTTCTTAAAATCCATACACTCCTTCAATTTAGGAGAGTGAGGTCGGAACTTATAAACTCTTTCACCTCTTACTAGTTGTCCAATGTGAGACTTCTTAAAACCCATACACTCCTTCAATTTCTCTCTTTTCTTTTTTTCCTTAATCTACTTCTTATTCATAACTCATAGGATATATATATATATATATAATAAGTTGTCCTTCAAAATGGAGAAACTTAGATTTTTTTTCCAGCATATTATCTTGATTTGGACTTTCAAAAGTAAATAATATGCTTTAAAAGTAAATTACATAATTATGACCATTAATTAAAAAATATAAATTGAGATTAATGTTTCTTATATCGTAGGAGATAAAAAAATTTCTCACAATTCCAAAATGATATTTTAGGATTTGAGAAAAAAATTGAATATATTTTAGTAAAATTCAAAATATAAGAGAAAAATAAATTTTTTCAAAATATCCTAATTTTGTTTTCATAAACCTCAAAACGAAATCATTTTGATATTGCTAGAGATAACTTTATCTTTTATTATATGCAAAATATTTTCTCATATAAATTACCAATTTATCATACCTATAATATCAACATGCTACATTAGTAATCACTGAATTTCAGTTCCCAGACAATTGACTGAGTTGGGCTAAATATATCACCATTAAAAATAGGCAATAGTAATACACCCAAAACTGAATACATAACTGTGACATAATGTAGTTGGTGCTCGCCTAGTCTAACCCACTTCTCCGTATTCTAGTCTCCACTTGGCTAGTTTATTTAGGAATTTTTTTAAAGGAAATGACAATTAACAATAAAAAGTGAAAAATACATGAATAATACTACAGGAAAAAAAATCTTTGACACCGATATCTAACTAAAAAATTTGATACCAAATTTTAACCGTTGATATTCGTCAATCTAACGATTATAGTTTATTGAAAATTAATAAATTAATTAAAAAATGTGACCCAATAAATTATAACAGTTAGATTTATAAAAATTAATAGTTAAGATTTGATAATATATAACTGGTGTGAAATAATTCTGCCCCTAATAATAATAATAATAATTTCCATAATAGTAATAACAAATGGTTGATTGATTATTTCCGAGGGTTAATTATATTGATCCTTTCCATTAATTATCCCTTTATCAAATTTGTCGTTTAACTTGAGTTCTTAACCATATTTCATTCTTTTTATCAATATTGTTTTACAATGAGATTAATAAAGAGAGAAGTTTGGAGTTTTGATAGAAAAATAATAAAATGCATTTTATACTATTCAAATTACTTTTTAAAATTCAAGAGACATATATATATATATATATATATATATATATATATATATATATATATATATATATATATATAATATTCAAATTATTTTTTGGGTTAGAAGATGCATTCTTCCTTCTACCTAGCGCGGGCATTGGGTAAAAGACTTTATCTAACATTTTGGCATGACCAAAATCTTGTCTGCGCTTGAAGACGCACGGTTATGGCAAGATGTGTTGATTCTTTTTTTTTTTTTTGGATACATGTGTTGATTCTTTCTAATTCTAACTATTTCTTTGATTCCAGCAAAATTGATTTCAATCTTGTATATTTTTTCCCCCTCTTAGCTTAAACCTCAAAATCTGAGACATAGACGCACTTTATTTCAAAGCAAATGAGAGGAGCCTAGGGAACAAAATTTCAGCGTGTGGTGTTTCTTAAAATAATCTTATTTTTAAGAGTAATTGGATATCGGCGCTTAACTGCATCTAAACTTTTTTCATAAAAAATAAATAAATTCAAATCATATAAAAAATTATTTTTAAAGCAAAGTTTATGAATGATCTTATGAAAAATGTAATCCAGTTACTCATAGTAATCTTTTTTTAAAAAAAAGTAATTTAACAGATGAAAAAACATTATGAATCAATAATGAGAAATAAGAACTTCGTATATGTCAAATGATGATCTGTTTTTATCACTTAATTTAAAGTTTTTTTATCACTTACCGTCCAAATTAAGGGATAAGTGATAAGTAAATTTTAAATTAGAAGATAAGTGATAAAGAAACTTTAAGTAATAATGTAAATGATTCAAAATTTTAGAAAATGAGTAAATAGGTGATTTTAGAAAAAAAATTAGAATGTGTGTATGTGTTGTCTCAAAGCTTCATCTATCAGTTTTATTCATGTAACGCCTCTCTTTTCCCTTTGATATTCTCTCCTTAACAGGCAGAGGAATTATATTTATTGATTTTTTTGGTCTTGTAATCTTCAAGTCCTTTAATTCATTGATTTTCTAATAAAAACAAGTGTTTACAAAAATAATTTTAAATGATTTTAATCCTGCCAAATTAATTTAGGGAGTGTATTGGATTGAAATTTTAATGGATTAATTTTGTGCAAAAAAATCCATTGATATTCGATAAGGATTTCAAATGATTGAAAAAAGTCACGTGATGTTCGATTACGATTTTAAAAGATTATTTTAGATTTTTTCCAAATCCGTTAATATTCAATTAGGATTTTAAATAAAGAAAAAACAATTTTGTAGTATTAAAAAATTTAACGATTTTAATGGATTTTCTATTGGTGTGAATTTTATGATATTTTTTAGTGAAAAATATAAATAGGATAGTTCTCTCACAATCTCACCTTAACCCAGTGGCGGACTCAGGATATTTTTTTATGTCTGCATAATTTTTTTATTTTTTATTTTAAAGATCATAATCATGATTCAATTTTGCTTCCACTTCAAAAGTAAAGCTTTGGTGAATCAACCAAAGTTTTAAGGAAATAATAGATAATGATAATTTCAAAAAAAAAAAAAAACATCACAAAAAGATATTTGTCAAATATAGTATAATTATAGCAGTTAATCGATCAAAAACCAACCTTTGTCGATGTCTATTTGATCCAAAGTTGGCCACTTTTGTTTCACAAAAAAACGTGAAAAATCTCGTGAGATTCTCCTCCACTTAATGATTTCAGGAATGTTGATGTTTATTAAGATTTGGAGCTAATAAGGTTTATAAAAAATAAAAATAAAAAGAGAGAGACAAAGCAATGGGCTAGGGTTTAAGCTTTAAGCTTTTAGCTTTTAATTATAGGGGTTGGTTGGGTTGGACATATTTTTACCTTTTTCCTTTAATCTTCCTATTTCTTTTTTTCTTAACTTAACTTGAAGCACTCATCTAATGTGAAAAAACAAATTTTCCCAACTTTGTGTCTGCAAGTGCAGACACTTGCATTAAGGTGCGTCCGCCATTGCCTTAACCCCTAGGATTTCTTGAGATTTCTCTATTGTAGTGCCTTCTTCTTCCTTTAACGGGTTAAACCTCTCGAAATTGAGTTCTGCTATGAGAGCTTCGTCAAAGCTCAAAAATAGTATATTTTTTAGCGATTTTTATCACAAAATAATCCAAAAACAACAAATCTACAAGATACTAATATAATCCATATAAAAAACAACAGATTTTTACAAGCTTTTGGAAGTTTAAAAATGATTTTTCAAGCTATGAGTTGTATTTTTCTTGGCACAAAAAGATATAATTTTTGTGTTAAAAATAACATAAAACAGTAGGAAAACAATAGTGGAACTAAAACCCTCGAACCAATGTTCGTTTTACATCAATGAAACAATATCAATTTAAAGAAAGATTAAAATTTTCATAATATAAACGCTATATTTCATTACAATACATTCATAAACGAAATTTCTTTGCTATAGGAAACAGTTTAAAACAAATCTTGTGTCAATAGATAACTAAAAATTATTTTTCAAAAGCCTTGAGGTTTCAATATTTCGATTGGCAATAATTTGAGAAAAATTTTAAACTTTCTGTAATAAAATCCAAAAATTTAGATTCAAAATTTTCTTAAAATACTTAATGAAAACATGCATATGATATATGGCTAGAAAACTCTTATCGCGTAAAACAGAAATCCCAAGGTTTTTGAAATCAATTGCAAAAAATTCCAAACGAAAATTTATTGTGAACTTTAGGTTCTATATGCAAATTTAGAATTATTTTAATAAATAAAAAATTGGGTCTTATAATCATATATGCATAGCTCTGATACTAAACGAAGAAGATAATTTTCAACCCATTGGTTAAACCAAGAGCAGGAACGAGAAAATGCTAATGCACGGAGACTAGTATAGCTTTAGATATGAGGAGAGTTGTTGCTTAATAATTTTGAATGTTTGTTAACAATTATATTATGTTTTACTGATTGAGAAAATTATATTATGTTTTATTTTTTTATTAATATCATTGCATTTTTTTGTTATTTTATTTCTTGACTCTTGTAATTTCGAGTGTTTGTGAAAAATTCATATGATCTTTTAAATTTTTATAAACCCATATTGTCTTTTCAAACTTTATAAATTCTATTAAAATATTTAAAAATCCACTCTTTTGAAATCTTGATTGAAAAAAAAGTCTTTTAAAAAAGTCTTTAAGGGGGTGTATCAATGTTGTTAAAATCGAGATTTTAAGTAAAATCGGAAGGGGATTTAAAAATCGTAAAACATAAAATCGTAATGTAAAAAAATTGTAAAAATGAAAAAGTATTTATAATATTGGTAAAATTGTTTTGATGAAAAAAATCATAAAAACGTAAAATCGTAATGATAAATCAAGAAATTAAAATAACAATATAATTAAATATTCATAATATTTTAAAAAGAGTAAAATCACATTTGGGTTCCTAACAAAAACTACAGTCCCTATTTTTTATTCTTTAAGAAAAAAAAGTCAATTTTTGATTCTCTACAATTTCGATTCTTTGAAAATGTGATCCTTCCAAAAAATTTAACGAAGATCTAACTTAATCTCTAAAAAAAATTAATATAAGTGATTTTTTTAAAAGGGATAAAAAAGAAGACCATATTTTTTTCTACTCAGCTGAAAAGTTTACTCTTTTAAAAAAGAACCCTAATTATCTATTGCCCACTCCGATACACGAGGCTTTATTTCTATTGTTCGTGTTATTCACACGTGGTAATCTGACTCTCTGTCTCTATCCGTTAACCTCTTGTAGTAAAAAAAAATTCTAAACCATCCCCACACTAAAACAAATACACCCTTTTCAACTTGCCAATCAGATCAGACACGTGTCAATCACGTGTGCCCGAAATCCTACAAAATACCACATTTGCCCTCAGAAAACGAGCTCTAATTTCATTCGCATCCGATCCCACACCATCGCGAGCGTACCCGATAATTGCCCAAGGAGAATTACTCAGGTATACGACCCTCCTACATCTATCATAGGCAACCTGCTAGTAAGCCAATGAAGTACTGCAACGTCAGCAATAATTTTAACCGACTAGGCTCTGCCATTACGTTTTCGACACGTGTCATAACTTTTACCGGTAATAGCCGGTAAAGTAGAGCTGGAGACAGGCACAGTCGGTCATTCCCACAGTACCATTCCCGCGAGATATAAAAATAAAACGAGTTGCCTCTAAAACACACTTTCTCTCTCTAGAGCTCACACAGGGTTTCTCTCTCTTTGTTTCTCTGTGATTCTTGTTTCCTAATTAAGCTTAGAAAAGCGAGTTTCGCTTTTTCCAACTCGCCGTTTCGATTGTGAGTAGCTTCCTCTACTTCTCATTATTCACTCGGGCCTTCAATTTTGATTGCTAGACATCGATCTCTGAAGCCCTGAATTCCTGTAACATTTTAAAAAAATTCAAAAATTTTGGTCTTTTTTATATTTGTTTATTTTTTTGCTATTGATCTTCTTGCTTTACAACTTTTGCAGCGTTGAATTTGTTTTAAGACCTTTTTTTCACGGTCTGAACTGACAATTGGAGTTTCGACAAGTATTCTTTTGTAGTCTGTTTCGGGTTTTGGGTTACACCGCAGCCTTTTTTGTGGCTTCTGAATTTGTGTGCTGAAAATTGGGGCTTTTCTGTTTGTTAGTTTGTTCACATGGTTTTGCACTTTTGCAATTCGATTCGGGTTTTTTTGGGGGCTTTTTTGGTAATGCATGAGCCGAATGGCTGTGCGTCTTATTTGGAAAGAATTAGGGTTTTGTGATGGTAATTGGTAGGTTTTAAGATTTTCCTACCTTGATTTGTGTATTTTAGTTGGTTCAATTTGTGGAGACTGTTTCGATAGTGTATGCTTCCTGATCAGGATTTTTTTTTCTATTTTCTAATTTTGGTTGTTTTAGTTTTAGCTGGTGCTTTCACGATGCTGATGTGTTTCCTTTTTGCTATGTTTATCGTAGATCCAGTGTTCAGAAGAACGTAGAGACAGTGGGCACATTTGATTGTGAAGGAGTTTGTAGATTTGTCCGAAGTTTGTATTTATAGAGTGAATTTCGGACTTTAAGAGGAACAAGTATAATCAGGAGAAGATTTATTCCCAAGCAATCTGTTACATTGACCTCGCCATTGTTTCATGCGTGTAGAGGTTACATTTTTTATGTTGATGGAACTTTCTCGTTAGTCTAAATACAAGTTAGGCTGGCTCTGGAGAGTTACCTAGACTCCAGTCACCAAGCGGTTGTGCCGCCCATGGCACCTTCTCGGGTGGCTGGAGGCTTAACCCAATCATCATCAAGTTCTGGAATATTCTTTCAAGGAGATGGGCAGTCACAGAATGTAGTTAATTCTCACTTGAGCTCATCTTTTGGTAACTCATCTAACATGGCTCCTGGAACTGGGCGTTCACATCTGGGTCCGGTTTCTGGGGATATGAATAATGCAGTTTTAAACAGTGTGGCAAACTCTGCACCAAGTGTTGGAGCCAGTTCTTTAGTCACAGATGCTAATTCTGCACAATCTGGAGGTCCCCATTTGCAGAGAAGTGCAAGCTTTAATACAGATTCGTACTTACGTTTACCTGCCTCACCCATGTCATTCACATCAAATAATATTAGTATTTCAGGGTCATCAGTTATGGACGGTTCTTCTGTAGCACAACAGAGCTCTCATCAAGATCAGAATGTTCAACAATTGCAGCAGAATCAGCGGCAGCCACAAGGTGCTTCTAGTGCTACGTCTTTGCTTCCATCTCAAACTGGCCCAGCTCCGCTCCCAATGGGTGCACGAGTACCAGGATCTTTCATTCAAGATCAAAATAATTTATTATCCCCGCCGCAGAAGAAACCTAGGCTGGATATCAAGCAGGAAGATATAATGCAACAGCTTCTTCAGAGACAAGACCCCATGCAGTTCCAGGGTCGTAATCCACAATTACAGGCTTTGCTTCAGCATCAGCAGAGACTAAGGCAGCAACAATTCCTTCAATCAATGCCACAGTTACAGCGAGCGCATTTGCAACAACAACAACAGCAGCAACAACAACAAATGCAATTGAGGCAGCAATTACAGCAACAAGTAATGCAGCCGTCATCTGGTGCAAAGCGCCCATATGACAGTGGTGTTTGTGCCCGTCGATTGATGCAATACCTCTATCATCAAAGGCAACGACCAAATGTGAGTTATTTACATCTTCTATTTGTTTGCTGCGTGTGTTGACTTTTCTTTCTGATTCTTGTAGTTCTTACTAGAGCTATAATTTATGCTTTATTCGTGTGAAATCTATTTGAGATTCACTGTATTCATCTATTTCTATTCTACTGTTCTTCTAAGTATTTGTCTTTCCCTTTCAGGCACTCGTTACCTTAAAAGATGTAGATTATTTATAACTGGTATTTGATTTATCTATTTGTCCCAGGATAATAGTATTGCCTATTGGAGAAAATTTGTGGCTGAATATTACTCTCCTCGTGCAAAGAAACGGTGGTGCTTGTCAATGTATGAGAATGTTGGACATCATGCACTTGGTGTTTTCCCCCAAGCAGCTATGGTCAGTTTTTGCACTGTTATTTAACCTTATAGTATTCTATCATGAATAAGATGATGTATATTAAGGGCCTGTTTGGTGTGATGTGTAAGGCTTGATAGTATAAGCTTATACTATACGTTATGACATTTTCAATCGTTTGGTGTGACTATCGTATAGTATAAGCTTATACAGCAGAACCCCTTAATACATCAAAATGATGTATAACTTAATCAGGCCTGATAAAGGGGTGATGTATTAATATTGTTTACAAGTACAATTTTCAAGAACTAATATATCATTTCAATATTAATATATTAAAATAGTTTTTTTTAAATATTTGAGGAAATTATTTTATACAATACCATACCAAATGCTGATAGTCTTATACTATCAGGTCTTATTCAATCTATGCACCAAACATGCCCTAAGATGGTGCCTTAATATACATTGATGAGCGGACCTGTATTTGAAATGTTAATTTGTTGCTTTTGCTTATCATCTTATTAGCGACAGCCCATCAGAATGTCTCCTAACGCAACTGATTCAGAAATGAATCTGAAATAATTGCATTTGCTAATAAAACTTTTTTATGTCTACAGCACCTTGCCCTGTTTTGTCTGACAGATATTTCTTTATTCAGGATGCATGGCAGTGCGATATATGCGGTTCTAAATCTGGAAGAGGATTTGGTAAGACAACAAGAATAGCATTTTTGTTATCCTGTAATACTATGGTACCAGTTTTTTTTTTTACTGTAATATTCAGATCTTAATCATGTAGAGTTAATTCTGGTAGGATCAACAACATCAACATCAACAACACCTTTATCTCAAATTAATTGGGGTCGGTGGTAGATGAACCCACATGAAAGATACAAAACGGTTGAAAAAAAGTTAAAAAAAATAAAAATAAAAAAAAATAAAAAATAAAAATAAAATTTGTAGTAGTGGTTACTGCAAAGATTTAGTTGATCCCACCTAGTGGGTGTTGTTGTTGCTACTTAGAACTGTATGTTAGCATCTCGTATTCTACTTAAAGGAATTTAGGGAATATTGTTCATAGCACTACACAAATGCTATTGGTAAGGAATATGGGACTGTGCTTATTAGAGCTGTCAAATGCCAAAACCTAGTCGAGAATATATGGAGCGGTATCATGAGAGGTATATGAAATGTTCTTTGGCCTAACCTAATAGCTTCTGTTTTAGTTTGAATGGTTCTTTGACATGATTTTAGTGTGTGGTTAATGGACCATAGTTTTCATTGGCATTATAAGAAGATCATAAGGGGGTCAGGAATGATGGATGTAAAGATTGAAAGGTAGGATATGCTGAAAAGAGATACTAGATGGTTCTTGGGACTTTTTTTTGAACATAAGGCATGAATCTCTTACCATCTATTTTTTTCCCCCCATTGAATATTGATTTTAAAAGTTTTGGGCATTTGTTTGCATATTGTTTATATCAATATATCTGTTAATGCATAAGGGCACCCCATAATTGGTTAAAATGTTGCATTTGTTACATTTTAATGTTTGCCCCCCTGCCGCAATAGATCCCCACAAAGAGAAATTAAACATGTCGTGTATATATGTGAATTATTTGCATAATTGAGCTAAAGGAACTTTTCGTGAATTTATATTTGCTTTCTTTAGCTTTTAGTTTCTTGGCTTCTCATTTTGCTACTTCATTATCAGGATCCTTTTTAAGTATGGAGGAATATTGTTGGGCATAAACTGATATTTTGGTGTTATAGAATTGCTCCGCGGATCAATTTCAAAAATGGAGGACTGCCTGCAGGATTAGCTCAGCTTTTGTCTTTCTATGTTTTTTTCTTTTATTTTAGTATGTGTAAATTGGTCGTCAAAGGGATTATTTGTTGGTTTGGGTTATCAAATTGTCAGCTGAGTATTTAGACTTTGCATTTAACTTACATGATTTGCTTTTTCTGAGGTTTTATTGCAATGTTGTTTCAGTTAGATGTCTGACAAACAAAGCTCTATAGGACGGTCCTTATATTTTTAATAGAAAAAGGCCGAAGGTTGGCCAATAACTGAATAGGTTCATAAAAGTGTAGGTGATTGAAGAAAAATAGGACCTCCCTCACGTAACTTAGTTTTTGGCCCTTCAGGCAATTAAAGTTGCTTTTCAAAGCAAAATAGGACTTCAATGTGTATGCTACTCATAATATCTGGTGATTCTAATTGTAAAAGATATTCTTGGTTTGAAAGTCAAAGAAAACGAACTGAACTAAATGCAACAAGCATAAGCAATTATATTAACCGTGAGTGATTATAACTGGGAAATGGTTGAAGAGAAGCTTTTATAGATACCCAATTTGCTTTCTGAATGTATCTGTAAGCTAGATTCTCAGCATGATGTCTTTTTGAAATCTCTGATTATATCATTCTAATAATATGTACATTCTGGATTTTGTGAACAGAGGCGACTTTTGAAGTACTCCCTAGGCTTAATGAAATCAAATTTGGTAGTGGTGTGATCGACGAACTTCTGTTCTTGGACTTGCCACGTGAATATAGATTTCCTTCTGGTGTATTGATGTTAGAATATGCAAAAGCAGTTCAGGCGAGTGTATATGAGCAGCTTCGTGTTGTTCGTGAGGGTCAACTTCGTATAGTATTCACGCAAGATCTGAAGGTAAAAACACTGATGCTATATTTTGTATTTGAATCTGTTGTGCATAAGCACCTTCTGATATTCTTGTTAATGTTCACAGATATTATCTTGGGAGTTTTGTGCAAGGCGCCATGAAGAACTTCTTCCTCGAAGGTTGGTTGCACCACAGGTACGACTCTATATGCATTAGAAAGTATTTGCTTCACTTTGGTTGTCACTATTTATTTATGAGGGAGGACGTCAAAGGTTAGCAGAATATTTTTGCAAAGCACACCACTTCTCCTAGTCAGATTTAGTTGATGGTTGGGAGTGATCTGCTTTGCAGTTTGAGGATATTTCTGTAAAAAAGTTCTGTATTCTGATCATAATTAATTGGCTTTTTTCTTGTACTAAATATATAATTATATCCTTGTATCCTTGCATGCATGCTGTTGTTAAAACCAATCATGCTTATATTAACATAATTGGTTTGAAGATGTGTAAGTGTTATTGTGTAACCTATTTCTTACAATTCATACTTTTGCAGGTCAACCAATTGGTTCAAGTAGCACAAAAATGCCAAAGTACAATTGCTGAAAGTGGATCTGATGGGATTTCTCAGCAGGATTTGCAAACAAATAGCAATATGTGAGTTTGTGCATTGCAGCGCCTTGTAATTGACTTATTTAGTAAATCAGATATCAATTCTCTCCATTTGATGCATGCTTCATGTGATAAGGATATGGTCTAGCATGATGCAGACCTTTTTTTGCCTAGATAGTTGTAGAAAGTGAACCACAGGGAAGGATTGAAGAAAATAGACTGTGCTGTTTCCCCATTTTAATTGTATGCTTTATTTATGTCTCAAGGTAGTCCAAGAATGTTGCGGGCCCTTTATTGGCTAGGTAGTTGGAGAAATGAAATCATGGGAAAAAAGAAAGCAAAACATTATTGCAAAATACTAAAAGAAGGACTTTATAGCATTAGATGTTCCTGGGTTGGACTCTTTGCTTTGACAATGGGCACATTGACCAATGTACATCTTTTTTTTAAATATCTTGTCAATTCAAGTGAAGGTGGAAACATTTTACCTATTTGGTGTTGTGAGAGGTACCAGTGCCTTGGATGCATCTATTTTCATATAAAAAAATTCCAACAGTGTGCCACATGAACCAACCACGGTGAGGTGCTGGGCCTCCAGTGCCTTTTCAATGGTGTTGAAGGGTACAACGCCTTTTAAGTGCATCATCCCATTTCATTTATTTCCCGCCCCATCTTAAATTCCTTTTCCTCTTGTACTGACCCATTTACTCCTCTCTCTACTCGGAGGCCAATGCCAAAATCCAATGAAAGAAGAAACATATAAACTCCCCGCATCCTCACATCAAAACCAAGTCCACACAGTACAATGTACCAAACCAAAGCCAACCCCTCTTTCTCTCTCATCATTGGACCAACGTGGCCAAAATTTACATAGAAGAAAAACCAAAAAAGAAACAGAAAGAATGGGAAGCACCAAAGAAAGGAGTTAGCTTCATGGCTTCATGTGCTCCAGCTATCACCACCTTACAACCTCTTTCTTTTTCTGTATCATAAAACTTATTCCCTAAATTACCCTTCTGTAAGCTCCCTAGACCCCAAAAAATCCCGTTTCCTCATTGTCTTTCAAAAGAACAATATTTTTCACCAAGTTATGTGGGCTTCTTTTTGGGTTTCTCTGTCTTGGTCAGAGTTTCACAGAGAAAGCAGGAAATCTAGAACCTTCTTACCCCTAACATCCTCATTCCCCCCACCCCCCAAAAAAAAAATGTAATTCATCCCTTGTTCTCTCTCTTTTTGTGTGCCTATTTTCCTCTCATACTTCTTACATGTTGTTCCATCGTCTTACACACTTTCTCTATCTGTTTGTGGGTTATTTCTTGATCTGACCAAGAACATGAAAGATTGAAAAATTATATAGGAGGAGGGGGAGGGGGAATGAGTCACACAGTTGCGCAATGTGGATCAAAGGCATTGGAGGCTGTAACGCCTCTCATGTGGCTAGTCCAAGTGGCACTCAGCTGTTTTTTTTTTTTTAATTTGAAAAGAGAGGCGCCCAAGGCACTAGCTCCTCTCACAACACTAATCAAATGCAATTTGATGGAATATGTTCAAAAACGGTGTACGTTGGTGAATGTGCCATTGACAATGAGGAATTTTCAAGACTAAGAGCATCTCACAGCATTGTAACTTTTTCATTCTTGGATCTTTATTTCTCTAAACTGTGCCCCTTTAAGTTGGGCACACTTTTTATTCTGCATATTGTTAAAAAGTAGCATATGAATAAAGCAGCATATGTTACAGTTCCTAGGTAAATTATTCAAATAGTACATTTTAGGTAAAAATTATACAAGACTATATTCTTACATGATTGTTTATTTATTTGGAGGGAGTAAGATACAATTGTGCAAGCTAACAGAACTAAAATGTATTGTAACCACATTAAGGGTTGAAAATATAATGCTCTTTTGCATCAGGGTATTAACAGCTGGGCGACATCTTGCGAAGAGTTTGGAGTTACAGTCGTTAAATGACTTGGGTTTCTCCAAAAGATATGTGAGATGTTTGCAGGTACACTGTTAAAATCTATATTCAGAGTGTCCTGTTGGATAATATTGTGAAAACTCTTAATTTGTTTTTTTTCTTTATTTTTTTATATTTAATCAAGCCTTCTTAACATTCCCTGCTACAATGGTTGACAGATAGCTGAGGTTGTCAATAGCATGAAAGACCTGATAGATTTCTGCCAGGAGCACAAAGTTGGCCCAATTGGTAATTCCTTATATTTTTTCTAATTGTATGACATTGTATTGGGCTGTAATAGTATTTACCTTTTTTCTTGTATTGAACATAGAGATATATGACTGTCCAAAATTGTTTCTTCTATGTGAAGTAGGGTAGAGTTATGTTAATCTCTGGACTCAGGAGCAATACCTGTGAGAGGTTTTTTAGCTCTAGCTTCTAGTATTATGTGATGTGAAGTAAAGTCAATCTATATGTATTTCGGTGTTATCGTTGCCTCCCAATTTTCATGTTATGTTTCACTTGGAATTTGGAAATTGAATTGAGGGGCACTGGGGAAAGAAGATTTACAAGCATATCTCTAATTATATGAAGTAACTAAATGAAATATCTTCTTTTTTTGTTCTTTTAGTCATCTCATAATATCTCCAGCGATGAACTTGGTCACATATATATCTTATGTTAAAAAGCGGATACAAAAAGTAGGAGAAAGAAAGAGAGCTTAAGATTCCAGTTATGGTTGCCTTCCCAAAAAAGTTCTTTTTATGCCTTGTTTATTTTAGAAGTACTTTTTACAAAAGGTAAAGCTATTTAGATTTTTAAAAAATTATTTGGTTTTTGAAAAAAATATTTGGCTTGACTTTTGTTTTTTTTAAAAGCTAAAATTTTTAGCTTTCAAAAAAAGTAGATTTGGCCTTTTTTATGACTTCTGCTTTTTTTAAAAGCAGACATCCAAACAGACTTTTTTTGAGAAGTGTTTTTTCCCCACCTTAAAAGAAACAACTTTTGGAGAGAAAAAATCCATCCAAACGGGCTTTTAGTGCAGTATATAAAGGAATTTTGATGTGTGCATTCTATACATGTGCTTCTCTTGTAGGTTCGACTCCTTATTTTCAATTGTGCAAAGCTGTTTCAGTTTCTATAAATTATCAGCTGCCTCTCTTACCCTGTATCCTTGCACTTACCTGCAGAAAGCTTGAAAAATTATCCTCGACATGCTACTGTTGCCAAGCTTCAGATGCAAAAGATGCAGGAGATGGAACAAGTAGCAAATGTTCAAGGTCTGCCAACAGATCGAAACACACTTAATAAGCTAATGGCAATGCATCCTGGCTTGAACAGTAAAATCAACAATAATCATAATATGGGTAATCGTGGTGCTATAAGTGGATCGGCACAAGCTGCTTTGGCACTGACCAACTACCAGAATCTTCTCATGAGGCAAAACTCGATGAATTCAAATTCTGGCTCTGTCCAGCGAGAAGGATCGTCGTCTTTCAATAATGCAAACCAGAGTCCATCTTCAACCTTGCAAGGTGCTGCTGGAGCTGCTGCTTTAATTCCAGGGTCAATGCAGAACTTACCAGTTAGTGGATTTTCCAGTCCCCATCTGCAACAGCATCCGCAACACCAGATGCAACAGCAGCAGCAACAGCAGCAGCAACAGCAGCTGCAACAACTTCAACAACGTTCTCTAAGTGCAAATAGCTTACTGCAACAAAGTCATTCACAGGGCTCCCAAGGAAATCAGGCGCTACAACAGCAGATGATCCAGCAACTGCTGCACGAGATGTCTAATAACAGTGGAGGGGTGCAGCCCCAGTCCCTTGGTGGACCCAATGCAAATGGGAGTATGGCAAAGAATGGGATGACCTTTGGAGGCCAGATTCCACCAGTAAATGGAGGTACTGCTAATGTTTCGGGAAGTAACGGACCTGTTCCTAGCCGGAGCAACAGCTTCAAAGCTGCTTCAAACAGTGATTCTTCTGCAGCTGGTGGAAACAATGGATTTAACCAGAGAACATCTGATATGCAACAAAATCTCCATTTGCCAGAAGATGTCATTCAGGATATTGCCCATGATTTTGCGGATAATGGCTTTTTTAACAGTGATCTAGATGATAACATGGGTTTTGGGTGGAAGGCTTGACTAACACAACTTTGTCCAGTAATTGGCTTCTCTTGGATTAAGTGTCGAGGGTATTATCTTTGTACAGGATATTTTAAATAGCTGATGCTTCTTTTCTTTGTTCTCCCTGCTCATTTTCTTGATGGAATTTGTTGTGACATGATTTACGGGTGCCTGATTAAGTTTTTATAGATCTTATTTGAGGGTTTTGTCTCACGACGGCAAGTGTAATCTATTGGACAACTTAAAAAACAGTTGTAAGCTTCCTATTTATACGACATTTTAATACTCATCTTGTTTTTTCTTTTCCTATCATTCTTGTGCAAGAGAGTAAGTTCAAACCTTATCAGCACTAGTCTAATGGGCGTGGAGGAATATTTGGGAAATTGAGGACAAGGTCGGAACGACCGAGTAAATGATCTTTTGTAATTTTTGGTTCAATCCCAATGATTGAAATTTTAGTTGTCGTTCATATGATATTAGTTGGATCCAAGTAGAGGAGTGTTAGAATTCGTAGATTCTTACAGTTTAAAATTAATCTGAATACAGATCTTATTCTTTTACCATGTGTTATTGCTTGGTTGATGTGGTACATAGAAAACTCAGTTTGCTTATCAATTTTTGTAGCACAAAACGTCAGCCAAAATAACTACTGGCGAGTGATTTAGATGTTTTTATCTCGGAAGTAAGTACAATAAATCGTATTCTCAGTCCTCGACGATAATTTGGCAAGAAGGCCTGACTTTTACGTGATAAAAAGGAAGATGCTTTGCTACAAACCCCCAACTACTTTATGTGCAGAAAATACACTACACACTTGAAGGCTTTCTAATGTTGATTTACCTTAATTTTATTAATCATCGACCACAACAAACCCACAACCTCTCTGCATTATGCTTGAGGTGCATGTCAACAACGGGAGGGAGGGCTTGAGTCTCCTATTGATGATGATGTCGAAGACTTCCAAACTGTTCAAGGAATGTATAGCTCATGGTACACTTTCCTGATGGGTGATGTATTTTGACATCAAATTTATCGTTAAGTTTGAAAACCAATCCTTTTCCCTTTGATAATAGGAAGGAGTGACAGACACGTTATCAGGTTTAGAAAATTAATGCTAAGGGGCTGCTTTAATATTTTAATATTTCTTTAGTAAGTTATCTACATTTATTCTCAAAATGACATTATTTTGATTGAAAGATTAAAAAATTAAAATGGGAAAGCCTATTATAACCTTGAAATAAATTATAATTATAAAAATACCTTGATTTCCGCTCCAAAACGACATCATTTTAAGCTCAATGTAAATAATTTATCTAGATCCGATGGCAAAAAAAAACGAACCCAACTAACATTATAAGAAAAACTGAAAAAGAAAGTAGCCAAAGTTCTATTTCTTATTAGGGAAAAATGTTTATCCTTTTAAATAACACAATTTATATCCTTTCACTCTCACAAAGAGGTGGGACCTACACCTTTATTTTTTTTGTCAACTATTTCTCCTTCTTTATTTATCTCTTTCTCTCTCTTAAAATGACACAACTTTACCTCTTTTAAAAATGATACACACTTTTTCCTTCTAATTATGAGAAAAACAATACGAATTATGCAGCATTCAGCGTAGAAGTACAGCATTTTGGTACACTATTATCTTCTACAAAAAATAGCTCCCATAAAACTCCAACTCGGGAAGACAAGGGTGAGGAAATTTTTACACACCACGTTATCCTTACATTTTTATAAAGAGATTTTCCCCCACAAAAAGAGCAATTTTATCATTGTTCTAGCTCACCTCAAAAGGTAAGGTGAGGTAGACTAGGAGAGCATTTTTGATACAACGTACTTATGACTTTCATTCAAAAATTGACACTTAAATTAAAAAAATAAAATAAAAAATTCTCTAGACTAGGGTAGAGAATGCCTCATTTTGATCGGTCCATCACACTGAATTGGTGATGCAACTGGTGTGCATAAAATATTTCGCTAGAGCCCTAGTATATATAGAGACGGGGTATGAGAAACCAACCATATAAATAATTTTATTTTTATACACACATAAAAGTATGTGAGGATGATGTTTTTTTCTTTCTTTCTTTTCTCTTCATATAACCCCACATAAATCTTAGATAGGAGATAAAAGTATCTACTATTAATCCCAAATAAAATATATCACAACAAATTACTCTGAATAGCAACTGTACGAGTTAGCAACTTCTATTTCACATTCGTAATTCCTACACATTAAGAAAGAGAAGAACAGTCAATCCCACCTAAAAACAAGGGCTACTGGAATATTCTCGAAACAATACCCCTTTTTTTCTCTTTCTTACACAAGTGCTTAATTAAACTGTGTAAAGCATAATAGCTAGCTAAAAAATTTTAGTGTCTCTCTAAACTTAGTTGGGCAAATTATGGCACCGTCTACGCAGAGGCCACCTTTGGTGTGAGTGCAATCAATTTGGGCCAAAGAAAACTTGATGTTTGTTGTTTCATTGGGCTTTTCTACCACGAAATCTCCAACGTGGTAATAGACCCACTCCCCAGGCCCATGCAAGTAACACTCTGAGTGTGAACGCTGACCGTCCGATGTGGAGAGTTGGAATTGGACGGGCTTGATGTCCCAGCCATGCACTTGATCAACGTTGCACACGCGCCGGCCCAATTTTTTGAAGGCCTTACCCAATTGGAGTCTGAAAATTAAGCTGTAACTCCCCACTGGGAATTCAAACTCAAGCTCCCCCACCACTTCAACCCACCACATTTGTTGAAGATATGCAATACTCTTGAACCTGCATGTACAAAAATAATTAACAATTTTACCATTTCATAATTTCAAATTAATTTCAACAGTACGGATAATTTACTAACAGATATTTGTATCTATTATTTTGTCAATTACTTGAACATCTTACCACAAACCCAGTTCCAGTGTTTATCTTTCATGAGAGAGTTAATAAGTTTCTAGAATTACATAAGCAAATAATATTATGTAGTTGTTTTTAATGTTTTGTGCTCATTTTTCCTAAATCGCTTATCGACCACATAATGAAATTCATATTAATCTGTAAAAGCCATGAAATTAGGAGTTGGAATCCATATTTATCAGGGAATAAGAAAACATTTCTCTTGTTAGATTGAGTATGACTCATTCAAAATGAAATTATAGACTAGAAATATATAAACATAATATTAAAGTTAATTTTTTTTTTTTTCTCTTTTCAAGAAATATACGAGCATATGTATTATATTATTATTGGTTGGGTCATGCGTGTATACACTACGATAGTATATTAGATTTTTCCGTGTCAAGTTAAGCACACAAAGAGAGGACATGCCCCCCGAAAGTTATACCTTTCTACATACAAATTGCATAGATTCCAAGAAAAGCTATAATAATATAACTAAGAATCGCATTTTATAACTTTGATAGAAAGTTCTCCTGGCAAGTAAAATGCGCATACTGATAAAAGCATGGAAGGAATAAATAATAAATAAATGGCCAAAGACGCTTTTGTTGCAAGCAATACATGCAAAGAATATGATCTTGCTTCTCTGTATTGACATGACATATCACAAAAAATCTATGCAATTACTTAACATTACTCTCCCATAAACAGAAGTCCTTTTCAGCTATTTCAATAATATATTCTAAGTGTAGATTGATTGCACTCTTGTTTCTTTTCTACAATTACAGATAAGATATTAACCATTGACCACGAAAGCATTATTTGCCAGAATATGGTAAATCAAATGGAATTGCCCGCAGGCTTTTAAAACCATTGCCCACTCGTTAAGAAATTCCTATCTTAAAGGACTTAATTATCAGATGAACGCTTCCACCGTAATTTATGGAAAATATCTAGTTCTACAACTAATAATGGATGTTTTTCAATATAAATAAATAAATAAGCACAAAGAGTGCCTAAGGAGTATTCAGGAGTTGTCCAACACGACAAGCATTCCGGCTTCGTTTAATAAAAATTTTATTTTGGGTAAATGTCTCAAATAAGTTTTACACTAAATAATAATTTAGAGATCATTATTTTTAGGAAAATACTATTCGCATTTCACATAAGATAGTTATCTCATTTTTTCTCACTTCGAAAATCGCATACCTTCTTTTTTCTTTTTCTTTTTTGTTTTTTAATAGCGGGTCTCACTTAAACTCTCTCTACAACATGAGAGAACTACTCCTAGTAACATAAGACTAATATTCTCCTTATTTATATCAATGAAAATAATGTAAATGATATTTTAGCACACCGAACTTTTTTTATATTTAAATTTCGTGAAATATATATGGCAAATTACTATTTCATTTATAGAATACAAAAAAGGGCTGTAATGTTTGTACAGTGAAAATATTGTAGATAAGTCATTTATATTCACTTTCAAAATGATGTTATTTTTAGTTGAAAGATTAAATAATTATAATGAAAAGACTATTATAATTCTGAAATAAATTATAAATACAAAAATACTTTAATTTTCGTCCCAAAACGACATCATTTTAGACTCAATGTAGATAAGTATATAATTTATTTACATTGACCGCAAAAAACGAATCTTATAAAAAAGTAGATTTTTTCCATAAATATTTTTTAAAACAAGTCGATATTTTTATTATATATATTCTTACCATATTCACGTTTTATTTTCATATTCTTTTGCATCATATCCACATGAAAAAAATGTAAAGTTGTGTCATTTTAAGTAAGAAAAAAAGATAAATTATGAAAGAGAGAGAGTGGACAAAAAAAAAAATTAAAGATGTGAGTCTCACCTCTATGTAAGAGTAAAATAATATAAATTATGTCATGTAAAAAGACAAACATTATTTCCTAGTCAGATATGTTAAAAATTCTTACTTTTGTTTCGTATAAGTTAACGATAAGTAGTTTTTTGTTTTAAAAAAACTGCTTTAATCAGTAAATTTTCTTAAAGTAGTATAATAATACATTTTCAACAATGTTACTTCTTATGAAAAAAAAAAGTATGAAAATAAGAAACAATATATTTTAATCAAATTTCTACATAAAAGAGGAAAAATATGAAAATAAATACTTTTCAACGGACTAGAAAGTTTCTGTAAACACAAGCAAGTCTAGGAAAACGCAGACAACAGACACGGTTCGGGAGTCAAGACAAATGCTTTGACCAGAAACATTTCAAAACCTTAACCTTCAATTCAGGAATTCAACATAAAATTAAACAAGAACAACATGAAATTCTCAAATGTATAAGTTAAGGAAACATTAAAATATCTAACCTGGATTCCTCAGTTGGAATATAATTCCAGTATCTTCTATCATCTATTCCTGTTATCTTCAAGGACTTTGATGACATGAACAAACAAATTTGTCCACTGCATTTGTCCATCCAAACTTCCTATAATAATCACCGGAAAAAGGAACAAACCCAAGAAGAAAATGTTAATAATTGAAGTGGCTAATTAGCTATACTAATGAAGAACAGAGATCCACACCATAAGAATAAGATGGAGCAACATACTTTGGTACCACCATCAAATCGATTGGGTAGACACAGTTTTGAATAAATCTCTTTCTTAGTCATAGCAGAAATATTTTCTTCACCGAGAACTTTATTAGCAAGAAACTTGTAGCTTTGTGGCAACTTTGATTCCCATACAAAATCAGCAGAGGAAGCTCTGTGAAAAGCACGGTTCACTCTTGCCAATTTGCAGATATCAGGTGGATCAAAATAAATGAGCAGAGAGGAGATGCAACTCTCTGGGATATCACCAAGACTAGGCCTTGATGATTGACAAATAGACCCTTCATCTTTTTTAGCTGTTGAAGAAATAGCAGCCCCCATAAACGAAAACAACACAGAAAGTATATATATTAAGTTGAAGAAATGGAATCAGAGACTCTGGTGAAAAGGGTTTGGTTCAAAAGTAAAGAAGGAGAAGATAAAGAATAAATGATGATGAAGAAGGTGCTTCCATTTTTCTAGGTGTGCTATGGATTAAGAAGAGAGCATTTGCAGAAGCAGCACGATTTGATTTGACTTTAGCTTTTAAAAATAGAAAGGTAAGGAGTGTGTGTGTGAGAGGGAAAAGGTATAAAGTGAAATTCTTAATTGTCCATTGGTTTCCAAAGTTCCAATTCCAACCGAGATTATGCAGATTATGCGCCTGGAATAATATCCTCAAGTATTAAATTGTATCCTCAAGTATTTTCATCATGTGTGGAGATTACGCGCCTATTTAATTTTCACGTGTGTATATCTATATAAGAGATAAGCTTTTCTTACTAAAAAGTTTATTTTATTCATTTTTTATGCAATACTCAACATTAAACAAATTCAAGTTATAAAATATCTGTGTAAATGTCAACTAAAAAGAAATTTCTTTAATATTTTAACATGATTTTATTTGTATTTATAAGTATGTATTAAATATTATTGGGCAAATTATGTGTGTGAGTGTTATTAGAAGATTGATTTGAACTATTAACATTGATTAGCATCCCTAAATATTTAATTAGTAAATCATAATGGTTGATATTGATTAACATATCAAAATAATAATAACTTAGATTGATTGGATTAACAAATTATAACTATTGGCTTTAATATATCAAGATAATAAGGAATAATTTCATTTTCACCACATGTGGTTATATGGTATATCACTTTATCGCTATGCTTTTATATTTGTCTCTTAGATCCATTGTGATTATAAAAATGTATCATTCAATCCCTTGTGATTTCAAAATATTATATATATCCATTGTGATTATAAAAAATGTATTACTTAAACCCTTTTTTGATCTTTTACATAAGCACGCACGCGCGCGCACACACACATATATATATATATATACACACATATATATGTGTGTGTGGGGGGTTTATATATATTAAATGTGAGAAATAATAATCATACAAAAGATAAAAGTATTAAATGTGAGAAATCATAATCTTACACCTATCATTATAGTACGTAAAGCTGCTGTAGAAATAATTTTACCTATATATATATAATATTTATTTAAATGTATCATATAAACGTTTGATTCACAATAAAAATAAATATTTTATTTTATTTTATTTAAATTAAATTCATTAGATGATACATATTTAAATGTTGTGGTCTTATATTTTTATCATAAAAATAAATTTAAGTCAAGTATTATTATTTATTTATTTGATACTGTTATAATATTTAAAAAATAATAATTTATTTAACTAATACATCTTTAATTTATCTTGAATAATATTCTTAATTTTGAATATATATTTTTTCATAACTAAAAAAATTAAAGATGATGTTTAAAATAATTTCAAAATAAATAAATATAAATATTTTTAAAATTTAATCATTAATAATTAATTTTATTAAAAAATCATTTGATAATATCACAATTATATAAATAAAGGTTAAAAAAATAAAGAATTTTATATTTATAAGACCATAAGGGTCTTAGTGATATATTTTTGTTACTACGATGAGCGTAAATGAATGTTTAAAATTACAAGGGATTAAATGGTAAACTTATTTAACCACAATAAATATGAATGATAAGTTTGAAATAATATGTGGTTAAGTGATTTTTCATTAAACCACGAGGGATGAAAATGAAGTTTTTTTCAAATAATAATAACTTTAGCTTAATTCAAATTATTTTGTATATGTATCTAATTAAAATAATCACATCTATACAATAACATATCTCTAAATCAAGAAAGTGGTTAATTCTGCATAGAATATTTTCAATAAATGTTATATTCGGTATTGATATCATTGATTCAATATATGCTTCTAATGCAGCAATGCATTGACGCTTAATATGCAGTTATGATCCTTTAGGTTCTTATACAGGTTTTTTTTTTCTTGTTAAATATTTCAATCAGTTCACCGTTTCACGACTAATTCGATCTGAGACAGGTTATGAGATTAAAGCTTTAAATCTCTTCAAAAATGACGATACTAAGAAGAATCGGGGCTGGTTGCTCCGCTATATGCATGCTAATGGGGCAAGTATGTTTCTCATTGTGGGGCTTCGACCAATCACCACTGGTAAATTCCGCTTTGGGGCCACCCCTGACTCTACTATTGTTATAGGGGTAAGGGGTTCGAGACAAAGAAAGATCAAGGCATATGCCTTCATCCACACCTGCTCAGTTCTCTAACGCCATCTGAGCTACCATCATTTGTTATGTACAGGTTCTCTTATTGCATATAGAAATGGCAAAATAGGATGAAACAGATGGATTAACTTGTCAAAATAGGGCAGGCTGGGTTGTATATTTTAACTCTCCAATCCAAATAATCAGCCTATATACGGGGCGGGTTAAAACAGGTTATAGGTAGGGCGGATCAACTTGCATGTAATTTAAAAAAAAAAATTAATGTTAGATTATGGCTTGATTGCTTTATTTGAATGATTATCATGTGAGACAAAATATTTTCTTTTAGGGTTATAATGTTATTGTTTTACTAAGAAGATTATTTTTTATTCACTTTTGATTCGACGAAAAAATATGTTAATATAAAAAATAAAAGAAACTTAAGCTTATTTTTGGATTTAAATGCTAATATCTATACAATAATATTTTCGGATTTTGATGTGTATATATGATTACTCCTTATTAAGAATGAAACTAATCCCGTGCCGTTTTATAGTCTCACAATAATCTCAATCTCTTCATGAATAATGTTATTTTTTTATAATTAAATTTCTTAATATTTTCTTCATTATTTATAGCAAAGTTAATAAAAACATTGAATACATTAAAAACTTGAAAGGTATTCAATATGGCTTTTTTTTTGGTATATTATTCAATATTGTTTTAAATACTTAATAATATTATTAAAACCATTCATTACAAAAACGAAGAAAAAATTTTAATTAAAGAATTTCCTTTTTGTTCAATAGCTAAACCACTTTCAATGGCTATCCTGTATATCCTCTCTGCTCGTTATTCTAAGGCAATTGAGTTTGGTTTGGGAGAGAGACAGAGGAGGGAAAATCTTGAGTAGTATAATATAATACGATTATTTATTATGATATCAGAGCTAAGGTAATTATAAAATCATAAGTTCAATCTTTATCACTTTTCATTTTATAGTGTAATTAAGTCGGAACAAGATAGAACAACAAAAAATTAACATATGCAATATCCACACTTCAATATTAAAGGATTTTTGTGTGAAAAGTTGTATTAAAAAACATAATATATTGAAGACACATCTCTTAATTATGTAATTATTTGCAAGTCAAAATTAAGTGAGAGACTCTTAGTTATGTGGGTATTAAAATTAATTTTTTGAGGGATGATTAAACATTGTGCTATCATTGTTTCTTACTGATGATAATGAAGTTTTTTTTTTAAGATATTCTACTTGGTTTATCGCTTCGCGGTTATTTTGATTCGGAACGGATTTCTGGATTAAGATTTTAAATTTCTTTCAAATATGATACTGAAAAAAATCGAACACATATTCTCACATCTACCTGCTCAATTTCTCAGTACCAATTGAACTACTATCATTTTGGTACTAATAGTGAAGCTTTTGTTCTATCTCTTTGTTGTTAGACATTGACTAGCTAAACCATGTTATACCTACACCTCTCTGGGTTAATGTTATTACATCAAATTAAAAATAATAATACAGAATTAGACTGTAAGATATAAATATTATCGAATAAAACAAACAGGATAGAATCGAAGCAAAGTTATTAAAGAAAAAACTTATCTGAAATTATATTGTTTTTAAAGTTAGCAACTTAATGTGTATGGAGTTCATTTGGATGTGATTTTTTTTTCTTTCAAAAATTATTTTAAGTCCTTCTAGTTATAAACTACTGTTTGGACGCCTATTTTTTTAAAAAAAGAGAAGTTATAAAAAAAGTCAAAAATTTACTTTTTATTAAAATCAAAATTTCTAGCTTATAATAAAAAAAAAGTCAAAAGTTAATTATTTTTTTTAAATCTAAATTTATTCCAACCCCAACCAATCTCACCTCCCTCGCTGCGACTGCCACCATCTCTAGTATCATCGTTGGCGCTACTGCTGCCACCACCAACCCTAACCTCAACCAATTTCATCTCTTCTATCACTACCATCACTACCATTCCGTTACCACCATGCCACCACCACTACATTGTCATCGTTACCACCTCTCGCCACCATCTATATCATTATTGTCATTGTCACTTTGCTATTGTCACTACCGCCACCGCCCCTTCCATCGTTGCTATTATGATCACCTCTACCACAATCAAATTTGCTATCATGATTTGTTTTCACATCTCGTTTGTAGTAATTTTATAAATGAAAAGTGCTTTTCAATTTTAATATCCAAATAATATATATAATTAATAGTGCTTTACATGTATTTCATTCAAATACAAAATAACTTTAACTTATGAAAAAAAAATTCTTTTAAAATAAGCAAATCATAATTTATTTACTTTTTAAAAAGTTCATCCAAAAGATTCAAAAAAATTAAAATTATAATATATTTTAAATTTATTTATTTACTCAGTCTAAAAACAATTCCTTTAAAGGAGCCTTACCCGTAAATAAATATGTATTGATTAATTACATAACTACCCCTACTCAAAATATAAATAAGACACAAAAACGTATGCTTTGAGATAACACGCGCGGGATTAAGCATGGGGGATAGTTGTTTGAGTTGTTTCCCGAGGCAGTAACAATGAGACAAATTGACATCAACGAAAACAGTAGCCATTGATATGTTCAACCATTTTATCGAAGACTTTATCAGTTTGTGCATTTATACTTTTTTGATTAAACAATTAGATTATTAATACTTAGGCAGACAAATATCCTTTGTTCACCCTAGACTCATATAAGCAACGCACATGGCTATCGGCCTGTCAATCATTCATTTTAATCACCCCGGCCGTATTCTATATTTTCATGTTTTCCATTTAATTAATCTGTCAACTATTTTTGGGGTGGGTCTGTTCTTTAGAGAGTTAATATCAATG